CATATGCTGGTTAGGTATGTTTTGAAGCATGACTGCTGGTTTGAGTTGGTTTAAGCTGGTTCTTAGCTGTTCATGTGCTGGTCCTAAGCTGGTCCTGAGCAGTAGCTAGTTGCTCAGGACCAGCACATGACCAGCTTAAAGCAACAGGGAGCATGGACCTTCCATGGTTCAAAAACACTAACTCTTGCTAATTTAGAACTGCAAACAGAGCACATATAGTACTACATATGGAGCACATTTCCATGTGTGTTTGCATCACAGTGGCAGTAGCTGACAGAGAGGTTTGATGACAATCCCCAGCACCACTCCTCGGCCCAGTCCTGAGGCCTTATCCAGCACCTTCAGTCTGAGCGCCAGATCTCCCAGACTGCCCCGCTGCTCCTCGTGCTCCTGGAAGAAGAAATCTTCATTGAACACAGGGTTACGGCAGTTCCTGATGATGGCGCTGTGTTGCCGCTGCAGCTTGCCTGGGGTGAGGCTTAGGGTCAAGCTGCAGGTCAGAGGTCGAAGGTCAGCAAGATCTCTCAAGCCTTCCACCGAGATCACACGGATGCGAATTGTTGTAGAGCACTGGGCCGCGCTGGTTCTGAAGGCAGAGACGCGCACCCGGCCTCTCTGAGGCAGAGGAAGCACGTGCTCCTGATGGAAGCGTTCCTGGCAGTGCAGCATGTCCAGGGGGAACTGGATGGGCGGGGCTAGTTTGGCGCAACAGGACGTTTGAATAACTTTCGCACGATGAGGGACTTTTGACATGAACTTTTTGTCTGGAGTGGAGTAAACTTTCTTTTTCTCGGCTCTGGGGGCATGAACATCTTGCTGAAGCGGCTCTTCAGAGATGGTGAAATCCTCTCTTCTGATTGGTGGAGGTGTTGAGTAAGGAGAGGAGTCAGCAGAGGGCGTGTCACTCTCAGTGCTGGCCATCTTCAGCACTGCTCTGCAGGACAGTTTGGGTGTTTTGATGGTCATTCGCTCTAGTGTGTAACAGGTAAGTGTGGAATGGAACAAAGACTCTTTGCGACGCGTGTTCGGACTCTCGAATAAACCGGACTCGTAGCATCTCAGTGAATATGGGATGGGATTGAGTTTGTTTAAAGCTGCTGTAGATTTATTTAGACTCGCTCTCAGTGGCTGGGCGGTATCAGGTCTTGACAGTGATATTTTTGTGAAGCTGGGAGCTTTTTTTTCTTCGTTCAGACACTGTGAGATTTTTTCAGCGTCTGCCATGAGGCAGCGCTTGGTCAGCTTGGGCGGCAGGAAGAAGTCAGGGATTTTATCAGGTGTGAGGACGTTGCTGTGCAGTTTATTGAAGATGCTGGTCTTGGCCGAAATCTCCTCTTTGTTTTTGCTGATGAGGTGATTGATCTGCACCGGGAGACTTTCTGCTCCCGCCTGCAGTTTCTGGAGGATCCACATTGTGATTGATAATGCTGATCAACTCTGCAAAGTGAAAGAAAAGGTTCAAGGGTTAGTTCAGTCAAAAATGAAAAATTCTGTCGTCATTTACTCTCATGTTCTTCCAAACCTCTTTGACTTTTTTCTTGTGCAGAACACAGAGGAAGATATTTTGAAGAATGTTGGTTGCCGAACCGATACCCATTGACTGCCACTGAATTTGCAAATAACAACACTGAGACATTTCTCAAAATATTTTCTTTTAAGCTTCACAGAAGAAAGAAAATCATATAGGTTTGTAATGACATGATGACAGAATTTTCATTTTTAGAACATATATCTCTTTAATGGTAAATTAATACCATTTTAAACAATTGTGAGACAGAAGTTGTTACCCAAGCGATGAACTATACACTGTACACATATACTATTCACTATGTATTTTAACGTCTAGTATGATGTTTAGAAAAGCAGTTTGTGATCCAGCATCAGAGTCTGATAGCCCTTGCCTTTCAATCCAATAATCCACACTTTTTTTCAAGTGCATCATCTGGGTGCACTTGTTCTTGTTCGAATTTTCAGTGTTAACATAATACACACACTATTTATTCTACAATATGGCAAAGAATAGTGATAGTGCATAAATAGACAAATTGGGACACACTTATAATAAAAATATGACATTTTAAGCTGTAATCTAAAATCTTTGATTGAATAAATATCTTTCATCTTGTGCAAATTATAATGATGTTGTGTGTAAATTAAAGCTAAATAGAGGGGAATTTATTTATTTCACTTCCTTTCATCAGTAACACATATTAAAAATCGACTTTCTTTTTATATATGCCAGCACTAATATTACCACTAATATATTTACATTAAGAAAGGCCAGATATTTATATTAAATTTATTAGAGCATTAGAGTTGCCCCCATTAGAAGTAACCGGTTAGAGGTAACTGTAACTCTGGAAAAAATACAAATAAAATAATTTACTGTATCTCAAATAAGAAAGCATAAAATTATTAAACAGTAGTGATGTAATCGTTTTATTATTTGATATTAATATTACCAAATACTTTTAATGGAATAATACTAAGTCTCAGGAAGAGATACATTTGACTAGAAAATATTATTTAAGTTATGAGTCAAGAACAGTTTTCTACTGGATCATTTAATAACATTTGTTACATATTTTCAAGAATCAAAAGTCACACAGTTCTTATTTTATAATATAACTGTAAGTTACTGTTTGAGTTACACAACCTCAGTCAAGGTAAAATCTTGTGTGGCATCTGTTAATGTTATTTATAAATGTACTACTACTTGTTCGTTGATCATTCACGTTTGTTTATTATACATTAATGCTAAGTTATACCTACAAGCTAAAATGTTAAACATGTATTATGTAGAAGTTAACATTAACATAGAGTGTTGAATGTAAAAGTATTGTTTATTGTTAGTTCATTGAACTAATTTGAACAAAATATTACCTTTTTGTGAACTATTAGCATTTATTATGTCAACCATAGATTGATGATTTTGTCCTTACCTGTCTGGGTGATCTGCAGTGGAGATCTGTGAGTTACTCTGTGTGGTCAGTGTGTAGTTTTAATGTTCAGTTCAGGTCAGGCCATCATATATTTCAATGCACAGTGGCCAATCACAGCAGACTTTCTGTCCTATAGGCTGCCTCTCTCTTTCCTCTGTATGTAGCCTAGAAGAGTTTCCTTATCACCTAAAATCCTTGAAACTGATTTCAGAAAAGCTCCCACAATCAGTAACCCATAAAACATTTCTGTCACAGAGAGCCACACTGTTCTCAGATCAGATGCACATATTTCTTTCACATTTAAAGGTCAACAGTGAGATCACTGGTGTCACTTCAAAGAGAAACCTTTGCTTAGAAAACAGTCTGGTCAGGCTCTGTTCTCCGCTTCAGCCTTCATGTAGTGGGGTCAGAAGTCCCGCCGAGTCTACTGTCCCCATCAAAGATTGACGTCAGGGTTTTGGTAGGTGGAATTATTCACAATACTGTACTCAGCTCCTTCTCTGGGTATGTCTTTTGTTGTGTATCTGTTTGTTTGTAATGGAAGTTTCATGATTTTTGTATGTATTATGTAATCATCATTTTGAGGAGTTATTGTTTGCATTTAGTGGTTTTCATCTGCTCACATTATGGCACTTTTATTTACAAACATCATATATAATAATAATAATAATAATAATATATCATTGCTCTTTTGTTGATTTTGATTGCTTCCATTGTCCT